TCTCTCTCTCTCTCTCTCTCTCTCTCTCTCTCTCTCATAGAAAAATTGTTATATTTGTTAACAATTTTTAAATGTGCTAAAAATATACGTAATAATTATCAATAATACAATATTTCGAAATAATTATAATATAAATTCTATTTGATCATTTTCAAAATAATTAATCAAAATAACATCTTTAGAAAATTCAATATTTAATTAAAAGATAAAATCTTATTAATACTCGTAATCATAGCAATTATTTAGCAACATATCATGTTTGATAAAAATGCAATTTATAAAATTAGAAAAATACAAGTTTATTTTAAAAAAATTATTTATTAAAATTTAAATACAATAAAATTCTCATATTTAAAATACATTAAAATGGTAAAACCGAACCGTCATAGCTTAGAAGCTTACCATAATCAGACTCTTTGACATTCTGGGCGGTGCGAAGTACTTGTGCCACACTTTTCTGCACGGTAAATTGCTCCACATACTCAGTTGGCTCACCACCCATGTCAGTTGCCACGTGACCAGGGTGAATCACCACCGACCTGATGCCGTGGGGAGCCAGGTCAACATCTAGACATTTACTGATCATGTTGATCGCAGTTTTGCTCACAACGTACGGGTATAATATGCGATGTGGGAGGTTATGAATGAACTCTATGGAGCCCAATAAAGCACCAATGTTGACGATTGTTGTTTTGCGCTTAGTCGCCGCAGACAGCTATTAATATTAAATAAATAATTTAATTTTAATTATTTAAAAATAAAATTACCATGATTTTATTGTGATAGCAGTTATATTGCTTTAATATACTGTATTATTTTATTTACCTTGAGCACTGGCAACAGTGCTTTGCTGAGCATAAGTCGAGACACGGCATTGACCTCAAAGTTGGTCACCATATCCTCGGCTGTTACCTCATCCAAACGATGCCAAATACAAATACCGGCGCTAAGTATTAATGTATCCAAACCCCTGTCGCCCACAATATCGGCCACTTGTTTGGCAAAGCCATCAAAACTCTTATAGTCCGTACCGTCCAGTTGTAGGACATGTAGGTTTGAGTGTCGGTCCCGGAGCTCATCCAACAAGCTTATATTATTTATTTTGCATTCTATTATTAATTGTAATATATTTATTTTATTGTATAGATTTATTGCTAGATATTTTCAAAATTTACAAATTTAGTAAGGAGAGAGAGAGAGAGAGAGAGAGTTATACAAAAACTGAGCTTATCAAGGTTATTCTCATTTAATGCGCGCAGTTTAGCAATATAAAATTCTGCAAAATATTCAGTGCTGTACAGGTATACTGCATTATTTTGCATTACTGCACATAACTTTTAGTGCAATTAAATTAAACACTATAATAAGCTATGTACTATTAAAACGTACCGTTTTGGTACACTTTTAGTCCTGCCTACATTATTATTTTGTATTATTCTACCCATGCATATAACAATTTAGTATGTAAACGTATAAATGTATATGTATAAAAATACCACATCGAATAATGCAATGTATATTATCAATTACTGTATGTTGCAAACTATAAAAACACTTGACAAAATAAAATTTTCAAGCAGATCATTTAAGTTATTTAACTTGATAAGTTATTATATTTACAATAAAGTTACAATAATACAGTTATTATATACTGTCTACATTAAGTATGAATACTGAGTCGGTATTGATTACGGGCGCCAATCGTGGCATTGGTCTAGAAATAGTGCGACAACTATTAACCGACAGCACCGGCACCGATGGCGGGCCCACACATGTGATCGCCACTACACGACAGGCCACTAATGCGGCGTTGGATGAGCTCCGGGACCGACACTCAAACTTACATGTCCTACAACTGGACGGTACGGACTATAAGAGTTTTGATGGCTTTGCCAAACAAGTGGTTGATATTGTGGGCGACAGGGGTTTGGATACACTCATCAATAACGCGGGTATTTTTCTATGGAAAAATCTTGATGAAACAACCGCTGAACATATGGTGACCAACTTTGAAGTGAATTCCGTTGGACCACTGATGCTTACAAAAGCATTGCTGCCAGTGCTTAAGGTAAAATAATATACTATAATACATAATAAGTAGTTTAAACTTATTGATTAATAAATTATTATTTAATAACTAAACTATAAAAATAGAGTAATATTTAAAATTTTTATACTTTAATTTACTAATGTAGAAATCGGCGGCAACCAAGCGCAAAACTATCATTGTCAACATAGGTGCTTTGCTGGGCTCGATTCAGGACATTGATAAATTCAAAGAGTTTATGTTTTACCCGTACGTTGTGAGCAAAGCCGCGTTGAATATGATCAGTAAATGTTTGGATGTTGACCTGGCGCCACATGGCATTAGATCGGTAGTGATTCACCCTGGTCATGTGGCCACAGATATGGGTGGTCCGCACGGGGCGCTTACCCCTAAGCAAAGTGTGACCCAGGTACTTCGCACTGCGAACAATGTTAAGGAATCCGATTATGGCAAGATGCTTAATTATGATGGTGCTGTGTTGCCGTTTTAATTGATTATTATGGGCATTAAAACTATAATTTAAAAATATACTTATTATGTTACTTATTCAAATTGTATTGTATTATTAAACCATAAAATTATTATTACTTTGGATATGATGTATTTTTGTTAGCATAATGTTAAATTGTTTAAATATTAATTTTAAAAATTATTTTATGCATTTAAATAAATTAACAAAATAAGTTTTAATAAAATATTTGTTTAATATTTTTAGTTGATTTTATAATTTATTTAATTACATTATATTGTTTTATTCATTCAAAGTGGAATTAGTTTTATTAAAAATATCTAGTAACGTTAAGTAGATTTTAAATTATTAATTTTTTTAAACTTTATTTTATTAAATTTGTTTAATTAATTATTTTAAAAACTAATCAAACGTTTGCCCAAATATTTATAAATATGATTTTGTATATTAATAAAATAAATATAAATAGATGAATGTAAAAACTATTTTGAATATTAATCAGGAATAATTATTTAACTATTATTGGGTTAAACACTACAAAATTAAATAATATTTGAAATATGTAATTCAAGTAAGTGATAAATTAATTATCCTAATAGTCTAGCTTAAAGATATAATAAATAACCAAAAATAATTTGTGAAGACATAATTATAATTTAATATTGAGAAATACTTATTTAATTATGTTTACTGTTTTCAAATTACTATGATGAATACTTTAATTATTATAATATAATACTAATCATAATAACCTTTTCTTATCAACATATGAATTACTTGATTTGTTAATTCAAGTGTGTGAGAGATCTAATATAACTAATCAAGGTCAGGTTAATAAGTGCAATTGCAAACATTTTGCTATGTACAGTATACGTATGAATTTAACTAACATTATTGTCAACAATTGACTAATAAATATTGGTGCAAACTTATTTACGTAATTTACACACAATGATATTTAATATAAGTCCAGTTTTCGGACAACGTAGGTACATCTAAAATAATTAAATTGATTAATAGATAAAATAAATCAACACAATTTACTACTTATATAAATACCTGTTAAGATTTTATTAAAAGTATTCACTTGCTAGTATAAACTATTAATTAGTTAGTTTACCATTTATTAACTAAATTGACAAATAATGAATTGTGAGTCTGTATTGATTACGGGCGCCAATCGCGGCATTGGTCTGGAATTAGTGCGACAACTGTTGGCCAACACCGGCACCGATGGCGGGCCCACACATGTGATCGCCACTACACGACAGGCCACTAATGCGGCGTTGGATGAGCTCCGGG